AAGCCCTCATACAATTATGTTGATTGTTGGCTACCTGTATGGCTGACACGTTCTAATTTATTCCCATTTATAGAAACTAGTTTTTTTTTTCCTGGTTTTAGCTTGCTGTCTAATTTCATGTTCACCTGCATGTCTAGAGCTAGCAAACAGAATAAACAAGAACAATGGCATTGCTAAAACAATTTGAAAGCAGACCTACCTTTTAGCCCCAGTTCTGATATCCTTATGAGTTGCACCTGGCATTCAGTGGGATTGTTTATAAATTAAAGTGTAACTCCTTTCCATTCGGATGTTGAAATTTATCACTTAAGTTTGGGAGGTATAAATAGTGTTTAAGCACACTTGTCTACAGCCACACTGCTTTAATAAAGCAGATGTAAAGAACCAGACCGGCAATGGTTCCTGCCCAAACTGGTGCCAAATTTACACAAAACGCTCTGAGCTTTCTACTATTAGGCTATGTCTACACCGTATGGGTGCATCTAGACTGGCAAGATTTTGCGCAAAAACTTGCCAGCTGTCTACACTGGCCGCTTAAATTTGCGCAAGAGCACTGACTTTAATGTACAAAACCAGTGCTTCTTGCGCAAATACTTTCATGCTCCTGCTCGGGAAAAAGTCCTCTTGTGCAAGTATACTTGCGCAAGAGGGCCAGTGTAGACAGGGAAGAACTGTTTTGCGCAAAAAAGCCCCGATGGCTAAAATGGCGATTGGGGCTTTCTTCCACAAAATCGCGTCTAGACTGGCCACGTGTGCTTTTGTACAAAAGCACTTTTTGCGCAAAAGCATCCGTGCCAATCTAGATGCGCTTTTGCAGAAATACTTTTAATGGAAAAACTTTTCCATTAAAAGTATTTCCGCAAAATCATGCCAGTCTAGATGCTGCCTATGCGTGTTCTTGTGCAAGTCAATTTACAGTAAAGCATCAGAAGAGAGGGCTTCTTGTGCAAGAGTTATTCCTCTCCCCACGAGGAATAGGGCAACAGCAGTTTCTTATGCAAGAAAACCCCTATGGCTAAAATAGCCATCAGTGCTTTCTTGTGCAAGAGAGCATCCACGCTGCCATGGACGCTCTTGCACAAAAGCACATGGCAGTGTGGACAGACTCTTGCGCAAGAATGTTTGTGCAAGAACTCTTGAGCAAAACAGTTCTTGTGCAAGAAGACTGCAGTGTAGACTTAGCCTTACAGAAGATTTTCATGTTAAAGTAATTGATAGTTTGGGTGATTATCTTGCCTACTATCCTAGTCGGTAAATCATATAACTTGTGTTGCTAAATTGTGGGGGGGAGAAGGGGTGTGTATAAAAGTTGTCAAGGGGTAAACCTGAAAAATTAAAGTAGTTTTTCATCCCTATTTTAATCGAGTTGTCTTGCACTCTAAATCGTTTAACTTTTTGCCTAACATCCTTTTTGAGGATTATCAGTTTATTCGGCTTTTCCCCACTTATTTCTCTCGAGCTACAGGACCTACGTTTCCTGCTTTTATGTTTGAAGGCAGCGGTGGCCTACACGCAGCCTTTCTATACAGACCAGGTTCTCCTAATGAGTACGCTTCCCTAGCAGAGCTCTTCTCCCCTTGCTCCGCAAAGCTGTAGGAGCGCCCTGCCCCTGTTGCTCTTAATCCACCTGCGCCGTCTGAAGCTAGGACAGTTTGCAGCATGGCGTCCAGAGACGCAGCTGCGCTAATCCTGGCGGGGCTGGCACAAGCAGGGAGCAGCAGGGCAAGAACCGGGCGACACGTGCAGAGAGGCCCGTCCCCTATAGCTGGCACTAAGGGAAAGGAGCCCGGGGATGGAGTAGGCCCGGGGTCCATGCCCGCCCCAAGTGTATGCGGGAGGGAGAGGAATGTGCTGCTCTCCAGGCTGGCGGAGGGGGAAGGATCGGGGCCCTGGAGCCGCCCTGCTCTGGGCACCAGCGGGCTGTACCGTGCAGGGCGCGGCTGGGCGCCTCCGCCCCA